GTGCAGAAGGCCAGCATCTGTTGCTCTGAGAAACAAGCCCTGAAAGGCAGCACGCACACCAGACCCTCGGACAGAAAGTGCACAGCCAGGCAGGTGTCCAGGCACTCCTGGGTATGACAAGCAGAGGCACAGTTCTGCGGCTCTCGCCACAGGTGACTTGGTCAAATGGTAACATCTCCGCCTTCTAAGGAGTGTCATCCTTTTCCTTTCTGTCTCGATCAGGGGCATCTGCACTGGGCCTGTTGGGGGTAAAGGAAGTCCCCTAATTAAAACCCACCACTAAGATCGTCTGCCCAGAGATCTGAGAGCCACCATCTGGCTCAGCCAGAGAAGCAGTAGTGCCAAGTCCAGATCAGACCTTCGTGTGAAGTGCCGGCCATTGTCTGCCGGGACAGTACCGAGAGCCTGTTTCTCCTCCACAGTGGGTGACGTTGTCCTCTGTGATGTTGGACTCCAGGATCAGACTGAAAGCGAACTATTTTCCGGCCAGCACAGCTGTCTGTGGAGTTCTCAGACCTGTCTTTCCCACCAAGAGGGCGTCATGGAGGTGGCTGCCATTGCTATGGTTTTGAAAAGACCAAAGAAAATCCAGAAGCTTTTATAACTTTATCTTCAGCCATGCTCGCTGGAGAAGAATTTAGATGCAGTGTGTGGGACAAATACCGGCCCCCTTTAGCTCCACCACAGGCTTCCTGCCCCTTTGTTTTCTGTAGTGTTGCCCCCACTGTGAATGCTTGATCTACCCAAGGGACTGGCCTTGAATCCCTTAAGTCTGTTGAATGTCCTCTTCTGCTTTCATTTACAAAGCTCTCCCTCTCTCTAAGGGAAGTGTGGGATCTACAGACCTCTTTCCAGAACTCCATAGAAAACCATCTCATCCAGGAGGAAAGGTGGGCGGAGACCCTGAACGGGAAGTGAGCGAACTTCCTTTCATCGCTCTTCACTCCCCACCACCCCCAACATACACATCAGCTTCCATCTCAAAGTGTCACAAAACACTGGTCTGCAAACCACAGGGTCAAGCTTTGTTGTGGGAAAATGCATATTCATGAGGGCTTTGAGGAACTTCATTAATATGCCGGGAATCTCTCCTTCAGGAATGGTACACAAGCTATTGCTTTATTTGCCCAACATGTTGTTTTAAAGGCAATAATTACATGATGAAATGACTAAGGAAACACTTTAATTATTTGTTTAAGGTAATTTTTGATCATCTCATTAGGGTTATAATTTCTTCACTTTTATAGGTGATTCAGAGCCTCTCACTCATTTAGATTTTTATACTCAAAGGAGCTCTGTGTAAGCACCTGTATCATTTTTGAAATCTGAGTAATTTTCTGTTTCCTTCTGCTTTATTCCAGAAAGATTTGATCACCAGGAGGTTTTTCGGGACATTATCAAAGCACTCATTTTTGGTAAGAAATGCGGAATCTCCTTGCACGAAGTGAGCTTTTGGCTCCCATGAGCGGGGGGCGGGCTTGCTGTGCTGGAGGGCTGCCGTGCAGGAGAGGGCTGAGGGCTGTGGCCTTCTGTGTCCGGAAACCTCCTGTGTGTAAGTCGGTGTTTGTTCACCTGAGCACAGTGAGATTAAAATGGGGCTTGAGTCACAGCCTAGGAGTGAATGAACGTGGGCTCACTGCTGGGCTCGTGCCTCGCCCAGGGCTGATGCCTGTCTGTCCCCCACGGCCGCGTTAGCAACGTGTGTACCGCCTCTGCTCCCCCGTCACTCACTCTGTGTTCCTGTAGGCTGCTGATCTCCTCTCATTTGTTTCTTTATGTGTGCGACCTCCTCGGACCTAGGTTCCCATTTACTTTGATAGCAGATTCCCACTGCAAATCTGTCACTGTCCGACATGACAACTGGTACACATCGAGCATCCTTAATCTGAAAATCTAAAGGCCAAAATGCCCCCAGATCTGAAGCCTTTGGAACATCAACATGTAAAGTATAATGAAAATATTTCTGAATCTTAAAACCTCTGAAGTCTGAGACATTTCTGGTCCCAAGCAGATTGTCCTTTATTTATTTATTTATTTTTAAAATAATTTTATTGAGAAACACATAGCAGTGAGACAGTTTCAAAACTGATTAGTAGGACAGTTTCAATAATTAATACATTGTATATGGTGGTCTTCTTAGTGGATATTCATAGTGATTGTCCTTTACATAAAGGCTAATAAACTCTGCTTTGAGAAGTTAGGCATTATGAACTACTTAGAAGCTGAGCAGATCTATCTTGGATCCAAAAGAGGCCCCTTCAGCTTGCCAGGGATGAAGGGCAGCTCCAGGTTGCTTTGGTAAAGCTGTATTGCAGTCCCGGTCCCACCCAGGATTGGCACCTGGTTTATTCTCGCCCTGCAGGAGCTGTAAGAGCTGAGCTCAGTCGTCAGCAAGGTGTTCAACAAGGAGAACCTGTGCAGGCAAGAGTCCTGGGCGAAGGGGAGTAGGCTCAGGTGGGCTGGAGGAGGCGGCTGGTGCAGGGGTTGGCATGTGTTTGGAGAGAGGGCAGCAGAGAAAAGGCCGTTAGACTTCAAAAGAAGGAGCCAGGCTTGGTCTCTGGGCCCTGCTGTCCAGAGCTGGTCTGAGCTCCTGGTAGGTTCAGTGGGTTCTTACGGATTTGAAGAGAAGGCGCGTGTAGTAGGCTTGGATGCATTGCCTTTTTAGAGCGCTATACATAAGGAAGTAATAGCTTTGGGACTCCAAACGGAGAGGAGAACTTTGGGTATCCCTCTATGGAAGCTCTATGCCAGTTCTGAGGCTGCAAGATGAAGGTTGACAGGGGCACAGGGATGGGATTCTGGAGTGTCATACCTGATTCAAAACCACCATTTTGCTTCCAAGGTAGTAGGAGGCTGTAGGTCTTGCTGTTTGAACCACCTTGAACGTTTTTGCAGTGTTTGTAAAACATCGCAGCTTTGTTTATGTCACTTTCTAATCCACAATCTATTTCTTGCCTGGGTGGGCTCCAATAATCCCCATGCTGGGCATAAGCAGGAATTCTCTGGTATTGAACCTGAATGTTCTTGTCACAGATGTCCTACATGGGTTCTGTGGTGGCTTTTGGACAGGACATATTCAGAAGACATTTGAGATAGGCAGAGAAAGTGGCTCGAAGCCCAGGGAGCCGGGCAAAACTTGAGAGGGGTCGCATGACTTCAAGCGGTTGGGCCGAGAGTTTCCTGGATATTTTCTCAGTTGTCTGTTTTTAAAGTTTGTCGATTGACATTTATCCTACCAACGTAACCCTTTCTGTTCCACCTAACTTTAAGTTGCAGACATCACCCTTCACTTTATCAGATGTGTCAACCACTTCTGGCACTGAAAATGTTAAAGAATTTTGGGGGATTATACAGAAGGACATGATTTTGTTTGTAACTGGCAGTCAGGACAGAGTGTGAAGGAAGCTGTTCCTTGTGGGCAAGCAATGTCACAAATTACTGTGAAATGCTGAGCTTTGGGCTCCTGGGGTTGAACAGCCAGCCTCCAGGAACTGTCCGCTGTGAATTGACTTCTTGAAGCTTTCCTTAATGAATTTGGGGTGCCAGTGGGTTCTGATGGAGGCCTGGATTGATTGTTTATACCCCTAAGGTATAAGGTATGAAGTGTTTTTTTTTTTTATCTCAGCCCAGAAGGGACCTGCTGGAGTTTTTATGTATTCTGAAATACTAATAGAGGCTCAGAGTCGGTGGCACTAGCCCAGGCGCTGGGCTGTCTTCGCCACTGCTGCCTTGCATCTGCAGCGCAGTAGGCCCGGCATTTCAGTGAAAGCGCTCATCACAATTCTCCGCAGCTCCCCAGCAGAAAAGCATATTCCGTCTTGGAAAGAAAAGTGGTGGCAAAATGGATATTTTTAAATGTCAATTAGCTGGAATGAATCTCTGTGCGCAGATCTACAAAGAGAAGAAAGGGCCGGGGTTTATTTATTTTTCTACTACAAATGGAACCATTCTGTAACTTCAGAATACTAATGCCTGTAGTGAGCGAGTGTCTCCTCATTGAATAGCTTCATGAATACGCGCCTGTGTACGGGAAACGTGTGGAGGCTCTTTTCTAAGGTTTTCTTGAATATTTAGATTGTGGGCCTCATTATTTTATCAACCCTCCATGTCCTTGTTCTGTAAAATGCCTCAAGGTTGAAATATATACACTTAGTGATCCTGAAGGAATGTTGAAAAGATTAATAAATTCTATTTAAATCATGGCAAATGCAGGAAGTATGGAGTGAGAAGTTGTTGCTTTTATGAAAATGGCTGGCTGATGTCATATCCGCAGGTTCCTTGCCCTGGACACATACACATGTACAAATTCCAGTCAAAAATGTCAGGTTCAGAGAAAGGCACAGGAAATTCTAACTACCAGGCAAGGAGAAACACAAAGCCAGGACATTAAGGAAGAATATAATAGGATCAAGACAGCGAGGTTCCTGACGGTGATCGCTCATCGCTGGTGAACTAGGGAGTGTGACTCCTACGTAGGAGAAGAGAGAGGGGCAGGCGGGTCATAGCCTCAGATCTCCTCTGAGTACAGGGACCCAGGCGGGGGCAGAGAGGTGGCGCTGATCAGGTGGGAAGTGATGCGGGACAGCTCACTGATCATATGGGAAGTGACGAAATGATGTCTTTGTCCCCTATCACACACACAAGAAAATGCCCACAGCTAAAGATCCAAATTCAAAGAGGAAACTGTTAGAATACACAGAAGGCATCTCCCATATGCTTTCAAGGTAGGAAAAGGTCACACATGCGCACACGCACATACGTGCACCACAAAAGACTAATAAATTAAACATCAGTATCAACAATGTCTTTGAAAGAATTAGGGATGGGAATAAATACTCACAATGGATTTGCTGTAAGGAATTAGTATTCTCTTTGTATGAAGAACTCTTTCAGATCAGTAAGATAAAAAAACAACAGAGTTGAAA